AATTTCCCACTGAGTTTCCTATGGCTCGTTTGACGATTCACCACCCGGTATATTATGTTTAAACAATACATTACCAAAATTTTTATTTGATTTTACATAATTGCCTTCAGTTTTCTTGAGCTATTCGGTGTTGTCTAAATCCAAATAACAGACTTTACTTGAACCTCAAAATATACATACCTATATTTAGGCAGACAATAAAACTACAGTATACTGAACAGTGGGAATGAAAAGTAGATAGTAAATACCAGGAATTTATATACAAAAGCAGAAATCAAAATGTTTGAAGATTGTATCCAACATGATAAAAAGGATGAAGCTATAAAAACACAAACCTGAAGCTAAAATCTAGAAAGAAGCAATACATTATTTACAATGAAGCTAACACTTGTGGTGTTTATAAAATTACTAAAAGAATGAAACCACCAGAATGTTTTCAGTCTTAACACATAATCATGAGTGAAAACCTGAAATTAAGTACTCCCACGTTATCATAATGAGTAAACAGGTTAAAACTTCCGACTGTTAATCTGAACAACATGTGGTATGAATAATTACTTGAGCATTTACAATAATTAGCCACTTTAAAAGGTGTAATTGAAGTAACAAAGTCGATTTGCGTTTAACCAAAAGAGAAGTTACTAACCCTGTGCGGAAGGGTGATCACTTGTAAGACTGACCAAAGATACCAGCCAAATGAATTAGAAGATCAAGAATTAAAATTAATTAAAAAGGTTCTGAAACTGCTTTCTGATGGTAGGTCTAAATTGAATATTATGTTTGTATGGGATTAAGCCTCAATTGATTGTAATGAAAATTACATGTCAAATGTCCGTTTAAAAATTTTACATAAAAGGAAGGTTGGCGTGTAAGAAATTAATCGTGAACGAGGGAATTTGGAGAGTACCACTATCTCTTTCCGCAGCTAAAAATGGATAATCAGAGATTCTTTAGATACATGAGGATAAAGTTGGACACATTTAATTACATCCTGAGTAAAATAGAAGAAAGTTTATCAAAAAAAGTGCTGTAACTCTCATCATCAACCCATACTTCCAGAAAAACGGTTAGTCATAATGCAAACTACAAAAACTACATAAAGTATTTACTGGTCGCTATCCTCCATAAATCCATACAAACTAAGTCTGATTCCGATGGCACACTGTGAGTTATTGATGATGATGAAGCATAGAACTGTAGTGTGGTATAAAACTGAGTCTCGTTCCGATGGCACATTGTGGGTTGTTCGTGGTGATGAAGCATAGAACTGTGGTGTGGAAGGAGATTGCACGGGTAGTAATGGCTTAAGCAAATTTTTTGCTTTTTTGGGTACGAAAATTTTTGCACTGTTTTATCCTCCCGCGAAATTCTAAAATTCTTTCTGGCATAATTTTTTACGAGCGGAAGAATGCTTTTGAAAAAATACAAGTCGTCGTCTTCAACCACATCTCTATTGTTATCGGTCTTTCGAGCCAGGATTTCTAGTTTTTTTCGTTTTATTTCCAGCATAGATGCTGTATAATCATCTGTCCTTTGACGTTTAACTATCAGTTTAAACATTGAGTGGGACTTACGAATCTGTGACGTTGTTGCTGTAGGAAAAGTATTGGACCGAGTATTTTGCAGAATCGATGCTGTACAGCATAATCTAATAAAGCTTGGCCATCGGCAGTGTCTAGTGATTGCTCATTTTGAATGACGGCACCCTCACTTTCATCCTCAGTAGCATTAAGAGTTGTCACATGAGACGCACTCCACTGAGAGTTTTCTTGGTCCCTACTAGCTTCAGTTTGGATCAAATTTCCTAAACTAGGTCGTGATTTTATGAAGTCTTTCAGATAGTAAAATGGTTTAAAATAGTGCCACTTGCTAGTGTGCTTTTCCCCACTTTCATCTCCAGATCTGGAGCGTTTTTCTTCTTCTTTTTGTGCCACTCCTATCGGAGATTGGAAATCATCAAGGCTATTCTGACCTTGTTTACGGCTGACCTAAAGAGTTCATTAGTGGTGCAGCCAAACCACTCTCTCAAATTCCGCAACCATGACATTCTTCTACGGCCTGGATTCCGTTTTCCTTCTATTTTTCCCTGCATTATATTTTGAAGTAATGCGTATTTATGTCCTCTCATCAGGTGACCAAAATATTCGAGTTTCTTCGCTTTAGCGTTAACAAAATCTCTGGGTCTTTTCCTATTCTTCGTATTACTTCACAGTTTGTTATTCTTTCAACCCAACTAATCTTCAGCATTCGACGGTAGCACCACATCTCGAAACTTTCAATATTTTTCATGTTGTTCTGTTTGAGAGTCCAGGCCTCTACACCGTATAATAGCGTGTTAAATACATAGCCTCTCAGCATTCTTAATCGTAGAGGGATGCTTATATTTCTGTTGCAGAAGAATTTTCTCATCTTTATGAAGGTGGCCCTGGCAATTTCGATACGTCTTTTTATTTCACTGTTTTGGTCTCCAGTTTCGTTTATTAAAGTTCCCAAGTATTTGTAACTTGATACTTTTTCAACTTGAGTGCCGTTTATACTAATATAGGCTGGTTGTGTCATGTTTTTACTAAAGACCATATACTTGGTTTTTTTAATATTGATATTTATACCATAATTGTTGCAAGCAATATTTATGTCTGTAAGTAATCTTTGTAATTCTTCTACTGTTCTTGCAACTAGTACAGTGTCGTCCGCGTATCGAATATTATTTACAATCTCTCCATTAATTACGATTCCTCTGTTTGCTTGTAAAAGGGCTTCCTGACAGATGCTTTCACTATATACATTAAATAACAGAGGTGACAAAATGCAACCCTGTCGTACTCCTCTACGTATTTCTATTGCTTGTGATGTTTCAGTTTCTATTTTGATGTTAGCTTTCTAATTCCAATATAGATTGAGAATTATTCGCAGATATTTATTATCTATGTCCTTCCTTTCAAGAATCTCTCTAAGCTTATCATGGCGTACTCTGTCAAACGCTTTTTCAAAATCGATAAAACACGTATGTACCTCCTGATTAACGTCTAGGCATCTTTGTGTAAGAACATTCAAACCGAAGAGAGCTTCTCGAGCACCAAGCCCTTTTCTGAACCCCATCTGTGTATTACTAATATCTGACTCCAACTTTTGATAAACTCGGTTGTGGATGATTTTTAGAAATATCTTTAGTAGGTGGCTCATTAAAGATATTGTTCGATGTTCTGAACATTCTTTAGCATTAGATTTCTTTGGCAGTGTAACGAATGTAGACAAGAGCCACTCTTGAGGTATAATACCAGTATTGTATATTGTATTAAATAAGTGCCATATTATACCTATTGATTCATCATTCAAGAGCTTTAGCAATTCGGTAGGAACCTCATCCGGTCCATTTGCCTTCCCAGTTTTGGAATTTTTAAGTACCATTTCTACTTCACATTTTAGAATTTCAGGTCCCGTTTCGCAATATATCAGAACAATGTTATTTCTGTTGTCCTCAAATAATTCTCTGATGTATTCACTCCATCTATTAATTTTCTCTGTTAAATCTATAATAATCTTTCCATCTTTGTTCTTAAGCAAACTTATTTGACGTCTTCTTTGGGTTCTTCTAATTTCTCTTACTTTTTTATGTATATTGAACGTGTCATACTTTCTTTCATAGTTTTCCATTTCTACACATTGTTCTGTAATCCATGATTCTTTGGCATTTCTTATTCTTTGCTTTATGTTCTTATCAACCTCTCTGTATTTTTCTGCATTATTCTTCATTTTACGTCTTTCATCCATTAGTTCTAGAATGTCTGGTGTCATCCACACCTTATGTTTCTTTGCAGATTTGGTTAGGTGTTTCTTTCCCGTAGTTCTTATTATAGTATTTATATACTTAAGTTTTTCATCTATGTTGTCTGTTCTGCGGATTTGGCTTTCTGCTACACTGAGGCTGGTGTTTATTTCTTCTCGCACTGTTTGTCGTAGATGTTCATTTTTAGGCTGGCTTAAGTCTAATGCTGGAATGATGGCTTTTCTTATTTTCTTTGGTCTAGCTGGAGCGTTTAATCGCCGACAATTCGGTGCTAAACTGATCACGCAAATACTTCCACTTTTTGCGTAGTTTTTCTGTACTCAAAGAAAGAAACCGGGTAAAATATATACATACAGGAAGGTTCAGTGTTACGGAACTAACCACATTATGGTTAGTTGAATTCCTGTTTTTGTATAGCCGCATCTATGTATGCTGAAGATTATGTTATATTATGCGAATTTATGTTATTATATTACTACAGATACATAATATTCGGTTTCAAGTATTTAGCCACAGGAGCATTACATACGAGTTTTTGAGTGGGTTTCCTCGTCTTTCTTATACCAGACTGATGAATTGATCGTTGTCAATCCTATTGATAAATGCTTTTATAACCTCAAATATTGTGTAAATGCACAAAGACTCCCCTTCCAAGACAAACATTCCCAAATACGACTATCAGCATACTAGAAGCTGGAAAATAGATTAGGTCAGGTTAAATCTATAAATTTTTTGAAAACGATTTCCGAGTTGGAAATTGAAATGTCAAAACAAATGTAAAATATAATTCTTATTAAAATCAATTGTCGTTTCATCCCATATAAAATAATATTCAAGAATATTATTGAAATTATTAATATATTAAATTATAAATATTAATATATTATTATTGAGAAATAAAGAATGCTTACATAATTTTGTATATCTTTTTTTGTAAGTCTGACCTTTCAACAACTTATAAAGTGGAGACTATAAGATCACATACAAACGGCGGTTTGGAATCAGAAGACGTCGAGCGCCGAAACAAGTTTCAAATCCTACAGGTACAGCGTTAATGCTGACGTTTGTTGTGTTTCAACACGCAAACAGCCAGCATTAACATTAATAATTGAGCAAGTTGCTCGCAGTTTACATACTAAAGAGATTCTGGATAATAAATTTTATCATGAAATTTTACATTCATTTAGAAGTCATTTATAGAATCCTCACTTACCTCTATGAGGGCTTTTTTATCACTCTTGTCCTTATTATTATTTTGTAAAAGTTTAATAACATTTTTGGCACCTTCAACCACAGCTGCTTCGACTCTAAGTCTGTGTTTTAAATCTTCTATTCTATCATCTAAAAGTGGATCCAATTCTCCGTGCGACAGGTCTCCATTGTCCGTCAAATCCTGAATGGAACCCCGCGATTTCGAATCGATGTCATGTTTTAACTAAAAGAAAAAAATAAATAAACATCATTTTATATAACATAAAATGGTCAGAGAGCAGAAGATCAGGTAGGAACGCCATCACTAACCGAGATTAAAAAAGGAATCGAACATTTAAAAAACAACAAAATATCGGGAAGTGATAACATAAATGCGGATTAACCGTAGTAAGTGAAGGCAAGCCGTACAGTCAGCGAAGACCCACGAAGGGTTTGAATGCGATAGAGAGATAGAGAAAAAGATATATAGATATATAGAGGGAGCGAGAAAGAACGAAAGAGAAAGATTACATTTGATACCCCGTCTTACCGGCAGATTTTCTATTCTTCTGACTTTCAAGTGTTTTTTGCACTTGCTACTAGCTTCTTTCTTTGTAGTAATTTCTGATAAAGAAGAGTATTCTGCAATCACATTAGCAACCTACTGATACACTATAAGTCCATTCAAATAACCCTTCTACTTTTTATTATGTAGAGATGACTGTGTCTGTTTTTCAATGTGTCTCCAGTAAGTTGTCATTCCATTGTTTTCGTCGTATTCCAATTGGGAAACCGTCTCTTGTCGTCTTTACAATTAGATTTGTTGTCATTCCGCCTATATAATAATTCCATTTTACTCTTCTATTTCTCACCCAGTCCTTGATGTTCTCCACCTTTCATATACGTCATATATCTGTATTTCTAGCTCTGCCCCCTAGTGTTTTACCATAACTTTTTGTAGGTGATTTCATCTCTGCTGTTTCTAACATCCTTTTTGTCCTCTATGTGTCAGGTTGTATTTCTGCCGCGTACGTCATTATTGGTCTGATGACTGTTTTGTAAATTCTGCCTTTGGTTTCTTTCCCGATATTTTTATTTCTCCATATTGTTTTATTCAGGCAACATGAGGCTCTGTTTGCTCTATTCAGCTCCAATTTACATCTTAGTAAATTTGATGTTATCACAATGCTGGCGGTTATATTAAATTGGTGCAACATACGTTGTAAATCATCTTTACTTTGAAAGAGTAGTATTGCCTCGTCTGCATAGCAAATTATTTTAAGTTGTTTTTCTCCTATTTGGTATCCTTTTTTAGTTCTTACTTTTTTATTATTTTATCCATAATAAGGTTGAATAAGAGAGGACTCAGAGAATCTCTCTTTTTTTATCCCATTGTCATCTTCAACAGGGTCAGTTAGTTCTTCTTCTACTTTTACTTTTATTGTGTTGTTTTGGTAGATATATTCGATCGTTTTGATTATTCCTAGGGGTATCTCTTTTGCGTTGTGCAATAAGTGAATAACGTCCTTTAATTTGGCCCGGTCAAATGCCTTCGTAAGGTCCACGAAACGTATATATGCGGATTTGTTGTATCTTAATTATTTCTCTTGCACTTACCTCGTTATAAATATAGCCTCGGTTCATGCTCTTCCCTACCTAAAATCTTGTTTTGTTCTTCTGCTAGTGTTGTAATTTCATTCAGTTTATTTTTTATCACTTGATCTCAATTCTTGAGGAATTTTGTTTTGTTCTATTATTTTTTGGATTAGTTTTAATTGTTGTTTGGTCAGATCTGGTCCTCCGTACTTGAGGAGTTCGTTCGGTATTCTGTCCTCTCCTGGTGATTTTCCGTTTTTACATATCCTTTACTCCCTTTACCTTTTCCTCTTCCTCTGGTGTTGGTTCGTTCGTTCATCTCTTTTCTTTGTACGCTGATCATTCTCCATATTTCTTTTTGTATTCCGTAGAAGTCGTGTTCCATCTGTTTTGAGAAGCTCTGTATTTACACAACACAAATATTATTTTTGGTTCATTGTATTGAGATTGAAATGCCTTGAATGCATACTCCCTTTTCAATAAACGCACATCAGGTCAATGGCCTTTAATTGTAAGAAAAATAGAAAAGAAGTTTAGAAATAAGATCAACGATCTAAAGATAAAAGGAAACCGGACTGAACATAACAGCATACATGAAGAATCATATAACGCAAAAATATTTCAAAGTTGACCACTGAGATGGAGCTATAATAGTAAGCAAAATATAGGTCCAATTTTGAAAAGACAAAGAAAGTTACCTCTTGAACGATACACATATGCTTTGAATAATTTTGAGTAAAAATAAACTAGGATAATATCAAAATATACATAAAAATGTTTTAATAAATACCTACCTTTGTTATTTTCATTTTTAAATATTCTATTTTCGTTTTTGAGTCTCTTAGCATTTGTTGAGCTTCTAATAATAGTTTTTTATCTCGTCCTGTGATGCTTTGTATCATATTTTCGGCTCCTTGCTTCACCTTTAATTCTATGTTTAACTGCTTTTCCAAATTTTCTATTCGACTATACAGGTTAGCATTACACTTATCCATATTGTGATTCGCCAATGTAGAAAAACTTACGGAATCTAAAATGAAAATTAAATTTAAAATTAGAAATAAAAATAAGAAATAATTAACGATACTATACAAAAAAAATTTCTTATTCCTAAAGAATGGACAGAATAAATAAAAGCTGGGAATAATTAGAGATAAGATAATTAGGAATAAAAAAATATTGTTTCTATACAACAATTTTTTTCAATCAATAATTGTGGCTTAATCTCGAATAAACATAATGTATACATATTTCCCTATATTGAAAATGCCAAAGGCTATTTTTCTAATTTGTTGGACGAACTCGGTTACTAGTTACTAGTGTATGAAATTTGCTTTTTTTTTTCTTGTCCGTGGATTCCAAATGCCAGTATGATCTGCATTTAGTTTTTTTACCTATCTCTTCTTTGTTATACATAATTATTCATTCTGGTTTCTTACGTCTATAGTTTATTTTTATGAACGAGAGAGTAATTAGCATAATTTTAACTGGTACCTCCGACCACTCCATGGGCGTGCTCAAGATTAATTGAAAAATTACTTTGAATAATTGTAAAAAATAAATGAATTATTTCAGTGTTATAAAGTGTTATGTGTATGTAAACAAAAGTGACCTCTTTTATCACACACTATATTAGAACTGACTGGCCTACATTAAAAAGGGTTTTAAAAAATTCACATTTTTTTTTAATTTTTAAAAATAACAAAAGAGAAAAAGAGTTTTTAAAACCGTCTAAGGTATGTTAAATAGGTGAATAAAAATATTAATATAAAAATTACAGCTACTTGTTACAAATCTAAATCAGATTCAGAAGATGAACTTTCAGAACCAAGATTTATAATAACTGGCTCGATCATTTTATCAGTAATATTGTCCAGCTTCCACATTTTTTCCTCTTCTTTAATAGTGTGATTTACTGCCTTTCCCCAGTTTTCAGGTTTTACATTATTTACGGCCTCCAAAAACAACTGTTTAACATCATGAATTTTAAAAGTGGTATTTTTTCTTGAAACTTCACTCTTTATCTGTGCCCATACCAGTTCAATCGGGTTTAATTCACAATGATATGGTGGGGATCTAAGTACTGTCATTCCACGATTTTTGGCAATTTCATCAATTTCGTATTTTTAAAATTTTTCTTTATGAAGGGCACACAACGAATAAAGTTCCTTTCTTATAGATCCGGGATGGTACGTAATATTTTTTGAACTCAGCCAATTCTGCAAGTCTTTTTTTAACCACTTGGTTGTGGGCAGTCCTTCTATAAGTCTGGAGTGATAACTTGCATTATCCATTACTATTACACAGTTCTTAGGAAGAAGATCTATCATTTGTTCGAACCATTCTTGAAAGACATCAGCGTTCATGTCTTCATGGTAGTCACCGGTACGAGTTGATTCAAAAGTTAATAAACCACCTTCAACAAAACCGTCTGAACTGCCAATGTGTACTATTATCAGCCTGCGTCCCTTTCCTGATGGTGGGTTTAAACCAGTAGATAAGTTATTTACAAAAGCGTGCCTTTGACTTGTAACAGTTTCATCCTGCCAAAATTTATTTGGTGTATGACCCTCGTTGATCCATGTTTCATCAAGATAAAATATTTTTCTTTTTTGGTTTCTCATTTCCTTTATGGTTCTTAGAAAATGTCTTCTCCATATGACAATATCGCTTCTTTCTAATAAAATAGACTTTCTGGGATTCTTTTTCCAGCGGAAGCCTATTTCTTTTAAAAGTTTCCATAACGTACTTCGACTCATTTCTGGGTAATCCTTATCATCTCGAACTGAGACAAGAACTTTATCCAATGTTGGAAATTATTGTCTAAAGAAGAATTCATGCACTTTCCGTCGAAGTCCTTCTTTAAAATGATATTCTGTTTGAAATTTTGGTTTCCCTGGAACATTACGTGGCATTTGAAAATTACCACATTTCTCTTCTTTAATAACTCTGTAAATCGTAGATTTTCCAACACCAAGTGTACTGCTAACTAACTCAACGGTCTCATCAACACTTTCACATAAACGTTTGTCTGTAAATGATTTAAAACAATTAAATATTAATGTTTTTTCATTAACTGTTAAAGGACCAATTTTTCGGCGTTTACACGGCACTTCCAAATTTTCCATAACACTAGTATACACAATAAACTGCACCTTGCAACTGAAGTACCTACTTTTAGTGAACTGTTAAGAATTTTGAATACGCCACTTGGACCTTCCTACAAAATGGAAAAACCCACTATCACATTTTCTGTGGAATAAGTTTAGAAGGTAATTATCTAGTCAATTACTGTCGTAGATTCCTGGAATTAAAGAATTAAATGTTTGATTGTTGAAACCCTTACTTCGTGGAATGCACTCATTTCAGATAAAATAAAACGTTTTAATTTATCTAAAGAATTAAACTTTACTTTGCAAATAGGTAGGTACTTATTAAACTTTTATTGGTTATATAATATAACCAATAAAATAAACATCTTACATTTCTTGCAAATTCATTAGTACCTGTTAACCTCCATCACTCCGACACTGGCAACCTTATTTAGGGATTAGTAACCCTCACAACTATTGTATTCTATTCTGCTCCAACCTTTATACCTGGTGGTCATACTCAATTTAAAATTGTTTTCCTATATACTTCTGTAAACTTGTTGACAAATATCTGTTTTCATTGAGTCACCCGTATCAACAGTTTAGGGATTTGCATACATAATTTATTGTTTTATTACTCTCTCATACATAAAAATACACTATAATATATTTCCTACCAAATATTTCTATGTTTATTTTTCCAAGATATCTACTTTTATCAGTCATACATAGAATTCCCGGCATATAATATGAAAGATAACTATATTATTAACATTTTATAGGGCGATCCCTTCCCAAATGTTTTGTCATAAAAAGTGATGTATAACACACATACATACGGACTCCTGCAAAAAAATTGTTACTAAAATATTTAATCTCATTCTTTACTATTCTTTAATTTTTTAGAAACTATATAAAGCAGACGGTCGTTTATTGTGTAGCGCTAGCCGGAGACAGAGCAGCAGCATCTAAGATCAGAATAGCCATGATGATTGCCAACCTCCGTCGCGGAGATAGCACGTGAAGAAGAAGAAGCCGGAGATACACATGCCTGTTACTAGCACAATGGCATACCAGTACCTAGCAAGCAGCAGCTACTATCCCCAAACTAGCAAGTGTATACGTTAACTGGCATACTAGTTCCTTACCTGCTAGCTAATCGCAAAGAATTTGATTTTTCTTGCTAGTAGCATGCTGTGAGATGCAAGGCGCATGCGTGGGGACTGTCACTGGCATGTTTGAATGCATGCCAGTAGCTAACAGAGAATTGTCAGATTTGTTGTGTTGGTGATAAAAATTAATCGTTTTATTTTTAAACTTGTTAATTTAAATAACGTTTCGTTGGGGTGATGAAAAAACCATCAAATGTATTGCTATATATAGAGAATTGAAGTATCTTTCAAATTCTAAATCATTTCTATATAAGAATAAAATAGCCCGTGACAATGCATACACAAAAATGTAAGAGGAAGTGGGTGAAGGTATAACAAACTATAAAGGAGATAAAGGCCAAAATAAAAAATTACTCCAAAATTGTCTCGCCTACCAATCCAATTTCTCATCCAAATTTGTTTCTTTTTTGATTTCCGCTTCGGATTCATTATTAAATTTCTAACAATAAGGAATGGTCCCAAAGTTTTGGGAAAAATTTCAAAGCATATAACTCTGACCACAATAATCTTATATTTTTATTAAATTATTTAACAATTTAACTTAACTATTCTTATTATCAATCAAAATTCAAATGACAGACAAGGGACCATTATTTTCGATTTGCCTAATAATTCCCCTGACACGTTGCATTATCCTTTGGACGACCTCGGCGTCAATTTCTCTAATTTTTGTATATATATACGGCGTCTTAACTGTATCTGATTTTGTGCTTCCCATCCGTTATTATAGACTTTCCGATTTAATATTGTCCAGAACTCTTCAATTGGACGAGTCTGAGGTAGGTTGGGGGGATTGTCTGCTTTCGGTACAAAGGTAATGTTAGTTTCGTACCAGTCCCTTGTGATCCTCGCGTAACGACATAAAGCAAGATCTGGCCAAAAGACTATTTCATCATTTTCATGATGTGTGTTCACAAACTGAAGCAATTTAGAGAGACATCTTTGAATACAAATATTTGCGTTTAAGGCTTCGCCTCGAACAACACCAATGTAGGGCTGTGAGATAAAGCCAGCCTCAGAAATTGCAAACCATACCAAAATTTTGTCTTAAAATTTTTTCTTACTTTTGAATTTTATTTCATCAGGTACATTTTCGTAATCGTTCGTGTAAAACCCATCGTTACCCTTCATCTCAGAGTTGGACAAAGTAAAATATTTTTCATCGTCCATCACAATCAACTTGTTGACGAAATGCACTCGCCTTAACGCGCGGCAACATCTCGGAATTCTCTCTAATTCATCCTCTGTGTATTTTGGTGCTTTCCTTCTTTTCCGGTAGATAATATTGTTACTCGATGAGGTCCTGTATACTGTAGTCTTTCCAACATGAAATTTTCTGGACAGTTTTTGCTGTGAGACCTCAATTTTGTTCTTAGCTGCTTCAATCATATGGTTGAAGTCTTGCTTCTCTTATATGGTTCAAAATCCGCGGTCGGCCACTTTTACGCAAGTTAACACATGGTATTCCTTCTTCACATTCTCTGATTGTGCGATAAATTGTCGATTTGCTTATGTTTTGATCTCGATAAATATTAACAATATCTCGTTTCGACATTCGCCCAACCATATCATAAACACCTCGACGAATATCAATTTTATAAGACATTTTGCAGAGCACAAACCAAAATATTCTGCTTTGTTTATTAAATGTCAATAACTGATGACATTTCAATTCCATGGCCTTCTTTGTTAAATGCATTTTGCTTCTCAATCAGACCAGGTGAAATTTTTCCCAAAACTTTAGGACCATACGTTATCTGTGGTCA